TGAATTAGGCCCCCCCCTAATCATGATTTGCTATAGGTTTCTTTCCTTTGCCATATATACATAATTGACATGGTCAAACTCAAATCAATGCATATGGTTACATATTTAGTTATTTTTAAGTACTAAATTATATGTTGTAGATTGAGGATGGACGATTCTGCACTGTTTATTTGGCTAAGCTTACGTTCCATAAGTTATTTTAAGAGCTGATAAGCTGTGGCGTTTTATTTTTATAACTATTTTTTAAAGTATTTGGACAATACGCTCATAAGCTATAACGTGGTCTTAAATTGCTCTCAATCAGCTAATTCTTTTGAAATTTTAAGACCTTTTAAGAATAAAATTACCAAACACATTCCAAGAACTTATAAACTCCTAAACCTCTTATAGTAAATTTTGGAGCTCGATTGCAGTGATCCATTGCATTTCAGATCAATTTCTCGATTTTAAGCGTTGCAAAATTCGTGTGATACAACATCCTATATATAGAAATGTGATTAATGTATGGATTGATTATGATAGTGGATGCCAATTTATTTTAATAAAACATACTTAACCCTAATTTTAGTCAAATGGCAATTTGGAGTTTGATAATGTGAAGGAAAACGTCCAAAGTCAAATTTAACGCCGTTTTGCCATAAGTGCATATTCTATTGGAGTTAACTGCAAAAACTACCCCTGTGTAATCTCGAAATAGCAAAAACCCCCCTGTGATAAATAAACTAGCAAAAACCTCCCCTGTGAAATTATTTAAATAGCAAAAACCCCCTTATGAAACTATTTAAGGGTTGACTTGATATAAAAAGACACAAAAGCCCCTGGAGTCTTGCAATTAATAAATTCTTATATTTTATAAATATTTTAATTATTTTATTTAAAAAATAATCAATTTAGTTGTTTACTATTTTTTTATTTCTAAACAAACAAATTAAAAAGAATAAATATACATATAATATGTATATATATAAATACATTTTGAGGGACAATTTTGTCATTTCAGGTCTAAAAAATCAGCTAGGGGGGATTCTGCCTTTGACTAAATTTCACAGGGGGGTTTTTGCTAGTTTATTTATCACAGGGGGGTTTCCGCTATTTCGAGATAACACAGGGGTAGTATTTGCAGTTTACTCTATTCTATTGTCTAGACAGCTAGCTAGCCGTTACTTGTAACACCAATTCAAAGCTCATATACTATAATCCATGACGTGAAATATTCAATTTCATTCATTTAAATAATGCTATAAGTAATAATTAAATGAAATACAACTCTAATAATTTAATAAAAAACAATTCATAGCAGACATTTCAAAAAAAAATTATATATCAAAATTCAAAAAAAAAAAATCTTCATAAATTTCAAATAATTAACTCGAAACCCGCAAATTGGAATAAGAAATCTTGATTTAAATAATAAAAATAGATTTCCTTTTTTAATTGTTTGGGTAAATTATAACCACCCCTGAGATATGGTCAATTTACAAAAAAACTCCTATTGTTTGGATAATTACATCTACTCTCTTCAGCTATGATTTTTTCTTACACCCCACCATTATGGTGTCAAATTCAACATTATCATCTATATTTCGTGAAATGTGCTCTAGTTTGTACTCATTTTATGTAAAAATACAGTTTCTGATGCACCACAATCTGATAT